TGGAGTCAGCTGTCTTAACCGTGGCTTGTGTACTGCACACATACCAGCTTCATCACTGTGTCTGTCACGCGACTCTGTTCCCCTTTCGGGCTGTCTTTACATTTATTTTGAAAGATGAAGCTGGCGAGGGGCGTTACGTTTCCGACGTGTGCTTGCGGTGTTCGGCCAATCACAATGCACTGGGTCAGCTGGCCAATCAGAGCAGACTGCGCTTGTCGGAAGGAGGGACTTTGTAGAAATGAAGCGTTTGAGAGAGGCGGGGCATAGAGGACATTATTTTAAAAATAATGTGTTTTTTGAACATTAAAGCATGTCAACATATTCCGTTACACCAAATACACCAAATAATGATCTTTAAAAAAGCATCATATGACCCCTTTAAGAGTGCAGATGGAAGTGGAAAGTTCTGCAAGTTCTGCATTTCCATGACCAATGCAAGATCATCAAGCAGAGCTGATGGTAATCAGGTGTGTGTAATCGAATAACAAAACAGGACCCAAAATGGGTTTAGACATGCTTTTTTAGATGTAAAATAATGGCGCTAATACCAGTTGCAAACCTTATAATACCACTATTGCAAACCTTAGTAAATCACTTTGCATGATTGATTTAAATGCTTTCCTCACATAAATGTTGTGTCTGAAAGGGAAACTCCTACAAACGCACATGCAGTAAGGTTAGCCTCAAAAATAACTGTCCTACTTTTCATCGCTAATGTTTCACTGCTGTTAGTAAATCTGGCTCTTAGTCATTTCAGAGGGAATCGATGAGGGATTTCACATGTTGGACGTCGGGTTTGAGTTTGGTTGAACTTTGTCTCCCTGTAGTGAAAATCAAGTGTTTTATGTTGTTTATTTGTCTATGTGGTGTTTTTAATATGCTTTTAGACAAACCATGTGCCAATGCATTAATCAACACCATTTTTCTCCTTAAAACTGTAGTCTCCCAAATGCAGTCCCAGAAATGTGGTTTGAAACAGCCCTTGTTTACTACGTCACAATTCAATAACCAATCACGTCAAGGGATAGATTCCTATCATTAGCATACCTCTCTCCATTCGTACAAACACGACGCACGTTTTCCCCCCCACTGTCTCAAGGTAGAAATTAGCATAGAGATCGCTGGATTACCGGCACAAAACCAAAAATGCCCATGAAGCTGTGGTTTAACGTGAATTTAGAACTGCTAACTTGAAGAATAACCCGCGGCAACAGTGTAAAAGTAGCCCGGAGTCAGACGCACCTCTCCTGCATTGGTGTCCGCACTTCACTCGCATTTGCTCGCGGGCGCGAATTGGAATCACAAACTTGGCTGCTTTCGAGTTTTCAAGGCATTTTGAGGACACAACGTTAAGTAAGTAACCTTAACAACATTATTAGCTGTTTGATAACATAGTGAAGCCTAGGGTGACCATACGTGCCATTTTCCCAGGACGCGTCCTGGCCAGGATTTCTATATTGCCTAAAATATCTAGGTTTTGGCAATATAGAAATCCTGGCCAGGACGCGTCCTGGGAAAATGGCACGTATGGTCACCCTAGTGAAGCCAAGGGCTAATTATATCAATTACATGATAGTCTGACAGAGCGATAAAACGAATGATCATTCTGATACATCGTCTTATAAACGACCCTGTATAATTCTCTCTTCCTCCTCTTCTTCTGAATCAGTTTCTGGTTCAAACATGTATATCTTAATTAAACCAATATTTCCACTTGCCATTGTATCGTGTTTACTACAGTTCAGTTAGTGGATCAGGAGGCCCTGATTGATCCTATAATAATATAGTACCCATTCATCGTATTTTGTTGTGATTCGTCTGCAACAGAAAATGTGATATTCTGAAAGAATAGAATTTAAATATATTATGAGTATTTATTTTAAATATAGGATTTATTTCTTGTTTTTATTTAACCTTTTTTATTGTTTAACCACACAAACACACACCTCTCTCTCTCACACACAAACACACACACACACACCTCTTTCTCTCTCTCTCTCTCTCTCTCTCTCTCTCGCTCGCTCGCTCGCTCGTGCGTGCACACACACACACGATGCACAAAACTCTGCATTTAAACAGTCAATAGCAAATACTTAAACTAATAACAAAA